TTTTTTTTTTTTCCCTTCATTTTATTTTCTCTCCCCACCTTCTTAATTTTATTTATTTATTTAATGTGTTCGTTTGAATTGGTTTGAAGGTCTTTTTTTTCCTGGTTGCTTTATTTTGAAATCTTTTTTTTTTTTTTAAACTTTGGAACGCGTTAGGCCTTCCCCTTTTCTGTTAAGTTCTGATTGCTGCATCTTTTCTCTCTCCCGGACAATCAGCCTGGCATGACTCACACTGTATAGGAGGAAGCAGCTCTGGGAGTTTCGGAGTGAGAACATGAGGGGATGTTTACCCCTCTGGGCAGCTGCCGGGGCAGGGACCCAAACCTCTTCTGGCCTCCACCTTCTCCTCCAGCCACTGCCTGTCCTACTGTCTCCTTTCCATCCCCACAGCATCTTAGAAGGGAGCTCCCTCAAAGTGGAACACCCTGAATTAAGGCTAGGACTTAGCCTACTTCATCGGCCGTAGCCCACCCTCGCCCCAGGACCACCCGTGATCTTGGGTTAAATGGGCTCTGTTTCCATTTAACACCAGCAGTCCGTGCAGGCATCCAGGTCCCTGAGGCTCATTTGGAAGAGGAATGAGAAGAGGACAACCAGTCATGTTTGGACTCTTCTCTAGAGGTGGTGGGTGATCTGCTGAGAGCCCCTCTGGGTGGACCTTTCCTCCTAGTTGCTGTGAAAGCAGCCCCCATGTCAGCGCCTCACTCCCACATGTACCTGCCGCCCCTGCCCCCGACCCCTGACCTCTCACACCCCTGCCTCTGGCTCCCTGGCCTCAGACACAACCCTAGCCTCTGCCAGGCCTCCTGCCGCCTCCTCCTCCCAAGAGGTGCCTCCTCCTATACAACTCCTACCAGTTCCTGCACATGTCTTTTCTGTTACCTGGCATGTTGAAATCTCTCTTTATCTATAGGCAAGCCCTCTTGTGGTCAGTCTTTAACATGTGTTGTTTAATTTTTTTGTCGTTATTTTTCCTTAATTAAGAGACTTGGTAATGTTTGCATAGACCTTTGATGCACTGAACCATTGAATAACAGCACAGAACAGACGCTTTAGAGTTTTGATCTGAGATGTTTGGAAGTACCCCGCCACCACCCCCAGCTCCTCCATGCACCCTTACACCTCCCTCCACTCCATCTTTTGCTCCCAGTGAGTTACACTACCATGTTATCTTGCCTGCCTGATTCTTCCAGGTTAGAAGCCCCTGTCTGCTCCACTTCCAGCAGATGGACTTTGGAAAGCGGTTGTTACACTTGTCATATGTCCCCACTGTAGCCTGGTGTCCCAACTCTGCTCACCCTATAGCTCCAGAGACCATGGCCCCTCTGTCTCCCTGTGTCTCAGAGAACTGTCTTTGTCCCGCGTGTGCACATGTGTGTGTGTGTGTGTATGTGTGTACATGTCTAAGTGTGTGTGCATGTGTGTATGTGTGTACATCTGTGTGTGCATGTGTATGTGTGCGTGTATGTGTATGTCTGAGTGTGTGAGTGTGCGTGTGTTCGTGTGTGTATGTGTGTACATGCCTGTGTGTGCATGTATGTGTGTACATGTCTGTGTGTGAGCATGTGTGTATGTGCGTACATGTCAGTGTGACCACGTATGTGTGCGTGTGTGTGTGTGCATGTGTACGTGTATACTCATGTCTGAGTGTGTGTGAGCATGTGTATGTAAGCATGTGTGTATGTGTGTGTGCATGTGTGTGTATGTATGTGTGTGTGTGTACATGTCTGAGTGTGTGTGATCGTGTGTGTGCATGTGTGTTTATGTGGGTACATGTCTGAGTGTGTGTGAGCATGGGTGTGTGCGTGTGTGTATGTGTCCATGTGTGTGTACATGTCTGAATGTGTGTGAGCATGTGTGTATGCGTGTGCACGTGTGTGTATGTGTGTGTGTACTCTCCTTTAACTTCTTGCAGTAAATCCTCAGATCATTTTTTAAATCAATCTTCCTACTCGTGCTCTGAGTCTCCCCTCCCCTCTCTGAATGGACCCCAGTGTTGCAGCTGGATGAGCCCCAAGTTGCTGTTCCCGCTCATGCACATAAAAGCCAGAGCTTCTGTGCTCAGAGCTTGTGCTATGCAGTGCTCAGCCCTGGGGGACACTGCAGGGAGAGAAACAGGAAAGACAGGGCAGCGGTGGGCTCAGCCCTCAGGAGGTTTCCTTTCCAGACAGCAGTGCAGAGCCACATGAAAACCTGGGCAGAGGGGCCGAGAGCCCCACAGCAGGAAAATGTAGGAAAGTGACAGCAAGCTGCCCGCCTGTGCAGAGGCCCCTGCAGCTCCTGGGGTCCTGCGGGTTTTTCTCACAGTGGGCAAGGCCCCTATCACTCAGTCTGCCATTTTCTCCCAAACTATTCATGTCTTTAAAAGAAAAAGAAAAAACAAAAAAACATTTTCTAGGATATAAAATTTATACAGAAAAGGGGGCTCTGTTGGGGGTAGGGAGGGGGCCTGAACCCATGCAGCAGCTCCTGACATTGGAATCGTGGTTTTCTATTTACAAGTCACTTTGCATTTCTCTGACTTCACTCTTAACTACCCTTTGAATTTGACAGGTGAGAATTCTCATCCCAATTTGCTGATGTTAAAGGTGATGATGGAAAGATTAAGTGCGTTTCCAGTGCCTCTGAGTCAGCCCAGCCCTCCTGGGGCCAGCTCACTTCCTGCTAGGCCAGAATCCCTGGTCTCTGTACTCCACAACACCTTTTGGCAAATAGAAATCTTACCTGTCCCTCCTGTTGTACTGCCATCAGCCATGACTTACTCAGAACTTACGTTCTGTAATTGATATCTTAAATAATCACAGGATTTTTTCCACTTTCTAAATAAGCAATTATCAGCCACCCTGAGAGTTCCATTGCCCCTGTGTCCTCCCACACCGAGATGCTCCTCACAGCTCCAGGCTGAGGCATTTGTGGCTTTGAAGTCCTACTGAAGGATTGTCGGGGGATAGGGTGGCAACCGTGCATGTGACTGAGAGCAAGAGGAGGTGTCCTGAGACCCGACATCTCTTTCGGAGCCAGTTTCTCCCCTCTCCCACACAACTGATGGCTTATGAACAAAAAGAACAAACATTACATCCCCCGAGGCAGGAAGGCGGTTTGGGAGAGGAGAAAGCTGGACCTGAAGTCAGAAAACTGGCAGCTTGTTGAGTCTTGCTGCTGCTTCCTGTCAAAGCGTTACCAAAATGCCCAAAGACTGTTTTTTCATCTGTCAGAGGAATGTGGTATTTACGGCAGTGTGTTTTGAAGCTCAAATAAGAGCATCTATTTAAAAACTCTATATAAACTGGTAAAGCACTGTGGAATGGGAGAAACTGTGGCACCCAAGCAAATGACATTCTTTCCAAAATTACTGCTGGTGTCACTGGGAGGGCCTAGTCTCCAACCAAGACCTTTCTGTTAGTCTAATTATAACTTACAACCCACAGGTGAGAGCCCTGTCTCCCAGATATGCTTAGACCCATGAGATGGCCAACAGGCACAGCCAGATCAAACCCAGCACACACACACTTACCACGGCCCATAACTCTGAGGCCTCGAGAGGCTTGCTCTGAACACACAGTCTGGCTTGACCCTGAGCTCATGTCGCAGCCAGTGTGAGGGACGCCAGCTTAATTGAGCAGCATTGCATGTCCTCAGAGGTAGCTCCCTCCCACTAGGTAGTTCTGCCTCTAGGGCACTGGCAGCTTATGGGCAGCCCCAGCATTTTCTTCCCAATCCCATGGGATCCTTCAGAAAATCCTGCATCCGTGGATCCTGCTTTGGTACTTCCAAGATATTTTTAGTCATACTGTCATCACAAGACATATATTCCCAGGGATATGATCTATTTGGAAAGAGTCTACATTGTTAGCCTCAGTGTAATGCATGAGGGCGTTTCACCTGTAACCTGCCATCTTTAACTCCTAAACCCCTCCCCAGATACCTTACCCACCCTAAATTTCCTCCGAATGTTCCCCACATCTAAACCTGTCTCACCTTTTCTCTTCGCCTTTCCCAGGCTATGGGGCCCCTCCCTCTCAGGAACCATCATTCATTCATTTCACAGCATTTAGAGTCTCACTGCCTATGCGTCAGACACGGTTTGAGGCACCTGGGATCCATCAGTTGGCAAACCAAAAGCCCCTGCCTTCACGGGTTTGCACTGTAGACAGGAATAGTCAGACAATTCACCATGCAAGGAAGAACAGAAAATAAGGAACCCGTACGGTATGTTAGAAGATGATGGGTGCTTTAGGAAAAAAAAGTAGTGCCTGATAAGGGGGCTCCA